TAATCAATTAACAAAATCGGTGGCGACGTTGGCGTAGATACAGCAATGGCGAACACAAGAGCACATTCATATGTTAGACAAGCTTAAAACCCTCCCCGCTCCGCGTGCCTTCCCGTAACCTGCCTGGCACGCAAGAGGAATTGCCTGCCGACGCTTCTCCCAAATCGATCCGACCTTCATTCAGCGCTCCCGCGTCGCCTTCCCATTTTGCCATCGCCAGTGCGAGTGTTTCCCCCCCCCCCCCCCCCCAGTTTACAATTCGGAATGTCTCACTGGGGAGCGGTGATTTTTCCATCGACTGGCCGTGGAATCGTTACCACCTTCGGGATCCGTGTCTGCGCGCGCCGTCTCGCTCCGCGCCGGCGTTGAGTTTGCCGCGAGGAAAGGGGGGTCGGCGGCGGCGTCGTCGTACCGGCTAGGAGGGACGACGGCCGGCGGCTGAGGCCGACTTTGCCGGCGACAGCTCGAGGAGGGAGCAACGCGCCCGCGGGCACGTCCGCGATGACCTCATTGGATCACGTGATGTGGATCGACGCATCTCGTGAACGTTGCGGATTGGGGGCCTTCATCCAGCGTGAGGATGGACGTCCGCCACCGAGGAAACGGAGCGACGACCGCATTGGGCTCACGCGCAGGAGCCGGATCGGATCGTCGCATCGTGCGACCGGCCGCGAGGGGTTTGGCGATGGCTCGGCAAGGCCTTCATCCGGCAGCGGATCGATAACGGTTGACGGTGACGGTCATCGCAACCGCAACAATCGTGAGCTCACATTGGCTTGGCGACAAACGAAGGTGGGGGAGTGGGACAGCTAAACGGAATGGTGACATTTCACAAGGCGGCTAGCGGTCATGGCAAGCGATGATGAAGATGATGCTGAAGGTGACGAGGATCCACTGGACCTGCTAACTATTGTCGTGCGAGGCCGATCGTCCGATTAGGAATTCCGGCTAATCGCGCTAATCACCGCGCGGGCCTGGCACGACACGGAGCCACGCGGACTGCCCGTCCCGCCAGAGGATCAGCGTAACAATTGGAGCTTAACCTCAGCAGGGGGTCCCCCCCCCCGTCTGGGTCGGCACACCGCATCCTGTCTGTGCCTGTGCACCCACTGACAACTCAGCAGCCGCATCACCATATAATGAGTCGCACTGTGTACAACTACAACCACTGTGGTGGTCGACTCACCCACAAAGTTGGTGCTCGTTTAAGTCACCGACCCCAAGGGATGATGACAGAGGAAGATGGGCTGAGTCAACGCCCTCCCCCCCCCTCCTTCTCGGTTATCCACCACCCCACCCCAATGAGGAATTGAACTCGGGGAAAACCTTCTGATCGCTGAGCCATCAGGCACTGGTTACACACAAAGGTCACCAGGAGGTGGGGGGACGAGGGATTGAGACGGCGATTTGGAGGTACGGCAATGGTGGCCGCAAGCCACTGGAAGAATCAGAATCCTCCATCCTCTTACAAACACGGGGGGGGGTTGGGAAGGAGTGGGGGGCGGGGGGCAGCAGAATCTCATCTCAGCAGACACACTTTAATCACGCTGGCATTAAGTGTACTTCCCAAAATATAATGGGGGTTTTGTGTTTTTAATGCGTGCGTGCGTGCGGTGCGATGGGGAGGCCGGAAGGGTGGAAAAAATAAATCGCGGCTGTCCTCTTGCCGACATCCGTCCATGTTTCACGAATCAAAACAAACAACGCACGAGCGCACGCGTGCGGGAGGGCGGGCGGACACGCGCACGCACGTGCGCACGAGCCCGCTCCGCCACGGTGAGATTTGTGAGCAACACTCCGTTTGTCGCCGTCTCATTATGCTGCCTTTTGTTTTTGTAATTCAATTCCCGATGGGACCTCCGGATCGGCATCAGCCATAAACCTACCAGATCTCGCGAAATTTTGTATTTCATTTTCTTCGGGGGCTGAATGCTGTTCATTTGATCTGTAGCTGCTGCTGGTGATGATATTTGTATAATTATTATTATCCTCGTTATTACCACGCTTGTTTACTCAGAAAAGCCTCGCCTGTTGTCTCACAACTCCCTGTTGGGAGGGTTCTGCCAATTTTCTCAGCAGGGGTGTGCGAGTAATCTGCGGTGCAAGTTATTTTTTTTATTTGGCAAAATTTAAGCCACGACCCCCCCTGGCACAAACACAATGGCCTGTCTTGCTAGCGACCTCCTGGGTCAGCGTAACCAACCGGCTGTTTCACCGACAGGCTTGACAAGAGGATTGGAGAGGTCCACAGGTGCCAACCTTCTCCTCCCCGCCCCCACCCCCCTCCCCGGAGTGGAGGTTTGGTCTCAAAGCCACCCGTGAGCTGCAGAAAAAGAACGTGAAAATATTCAGGAGACAAAGAGGCCTTGGAACCAAACCCTCCACTCACGGTTTTGGGCCTGGGACCTCTCATCCTCTCGTCAAACCTGGCCGTCGAAGCGTCCTGCAGGGTGCTGCCAAGGTTGGAGGCCTCGTGCCCCACGGACGAGTGGGGCCACACCAACTCGTGAGGTCGTTCGCTACAGCAAGCCATTGTGTGCCAGGCGTCATGGTCCAAATCTGTCACCGACATGTCGACCCTGACACCTGCTGTATATTTGGGAGTTTGCATGTCTCTCTCCACGTGATCGCGTGGATTTTATGACCGGGCCCTCCACATGTGGCAACGAGCGTTGAGGTTATTTGGCTAATTTGTGGCCAGGTGTCGTTTCTGAAATAGATCTAGATAGCTCAGTGGGCCTTACCTGGTAAAATAAAAATGTATAGTGATCGTAATGTCTCATCGCTGATGCAACTATCGTGCCGTCCGGATGAGCGTATCCCCCGTGTTCGCATACGTGCTGTGAAGACGGCCCATTGCCTGAAGAGTCACATTTTATACATTTGCTTATATTTAGAGCCACAGTGTTGTTATTGATGAACGTGTTGGATATTTTTTTGTGATTTTTATTGTTCTTGTGCACACCACTGCCAATGCAGCAGCAGCACCAACAGGCATCACCGCCAAGTAATCTTCATATTATTTTCGGCTTAAATCGGAGGCGGCTGGGTCGAAGTGTCCTCCGTGACTCTATTGTTCACCAAGCTATTATCGAAGCCAGCTGCAAAACGTCTCGAATATAAAACCCGTGCGATCCAACGCATGCCGTCTCGAGCCTAAAAATTGATCCTTAGCCAAACGTGTCCCGGTTCGATGCCTGTACACCACCACTGCCAATGCAGCAGCAGCAGATAATATATAAAAATAAAAATACAATTGGAGCATGGGGAGGAGACATCACGACTAGAAGGGACGATTATGGCCGACGGTCAGGCTAATAACAAAACAATGATGGAGTGGCGACCACGGAATGGAAACGTGTCCGACAGGACGTCCAGCGCTTGGGAGATGGAGCTATCAAAAAATCACGTCGTACGTAGGTGCTCGGTGGATTTTATGACATCGCAGGACCGTGAGAGATGGCGACGACTTGGGGGTGAGGGGGGGGGGGTGTCCTGGATTGACCGCGGCTGCACAATACGAGAAGAAGACAGGCTCAGTGAGGCCTGCCCCCAGTGTCTACTCCCGGAGCCAACCGCGTTTTAATTCCACAACAAACACCAATAAAAGCCTCCGTTTGCTCTCGTGGCCCTGTCAGCTGCAAGTCGTTTCCACTTCCCCACTTCTCTTGAAGTCCCCAGGGGGGGTTTCTCCACAAGAAACGACACCACCACCCCCCACCCACGCGCACCCCTCACACCCAGGGACATCGCAAGTCTGGGACAGACACAGCTCTCTCTCGGAACGAGAGCCGGGGGGCCTCCCGGAGCACTTCTCCGCCACGAAAAAACATGAAATCCACCGAGAGCTCTCCTCTCGTTAATATTTTACACGCGTGGGGAAACTCAGCTGGCTCCGGGTGCCGCACAGATGCCAACGACGAATTTGCGAGACACTGGACGGTGTTGATAACGTTGCTGTGGAATGCCAAATCGGTTGATGGGATATTTGTAAAATTTTCATTTTTTTACGTGAAGTCAGACCGGAATGCATTTGATTTGACACACAGCGTAAGACAGGACAAGAGCGATGTCCTCCTCGAATGAGCATTGAGGCATTTGATGTGCATCCCCCGTTCACAGCCCTGCAAAGAAGCCAGTGATGGAAATTCCACATTCCTATGGTGGGCGTGGTATCTCCTTAGGACAACCACTTGATGTATTGAATTCACCCACAGAGCGGAACTCACTTTATCGACCCTGGAGGGATGATGAGGCATGATGGTTTTGAGTCGACCCACAACCTGGATTTGAACTCGGAAGAGCCCTTCTGATTTGCAAGGTGCAAGCTCACGATGTCTGACCCCACAACTGTCCAGGTAAAAAATACCCCAAAAGTGACTGATTTAGGATCCAAACCCATCCTAAAAAATGGCTCTTTTGAGGCTTTTCTGAGCGACCTTGCCTATTCAAGTCCAACAGTAAACGATCATTGGCTTCGCCAAGCCTGAACCTGCTGATGAGACACGTGAATGTCGAAGCCGGTCCAGTGTTTGCTTTGTATGAAACCAGGCGCCATTGTAAAGTCACTCCCAGAAGGCCGTGTGACCAATGGGGTGTAAAATAAATAAAAACAACTCGTACAAATTATTAAAAACAAACCTATTTTATAGTTGACAGGCAGGTACGGAAAAGGGGGCGAAATTCCTGCCTGCTTAATTTTATTACTTATCACCATGATCATTCTCCACTAGGAAGCCGATGATGATTTTTCATCAAATAAAAAGAAAATCTCAAGGTCGGCATCTCCCATCTCAGGTGAGCACTAGAAGGAACTCACCAGGGTTAGTTGCCCTGCTGATAATGACCTCACCCAAGCTGTCCAATCACAGCACCGATATGAATGTTACGCAACCGTCACACGACTTGCCAGCACTGTTCTCTCCGTGACCCCTGACCTCTTCCCCCCCCCGCCCCCCACCCCACCCCACGGTGTGTGGTGGCGGTGGGGATGGTCTCACCGTAAGACGAGGGACGTGGCCGGCGCTCCGATCCCGGGCCTCCGCCACCCCTGCCGGCGGCCGATTGGCCGAGCTCGCCGTTGCCGTGGTAGCAGGGCAGCAGGGTGCGGCCCCCGTCGGCGACGCGCACCAGGCGCTTGCGGTACTGCTGGTCGAGGCACGAGTTGGGCGACTCGCTGCGGCGGGCCAGTGACAGGGCCTCCACCCCGGCCGCAAGCGGCGCCGGGCCGCACAACTCAGGCTTGGCCTCGCGGTCGCTGGGGCGGTGGCGATAAAGAGGGGGGGGGGGGCGATGGCGATAAAGAGGGGGCAAAACGAAAATAAGAGTCGGGGGGGGGGGGGGAAGTCGCGTTTTGAAATATTTTGAGGAGTTGATTTGCGGCGTTTATCCGATGGGAACCACGGATGAAATGTGCCTCGCGAATGTTACACGGCGCTTGAGAGTGAAGGCGATGGCAGCGGTAACGTAATCGAGGATTTCAGGGGTTAACGGGGGAGAGGAGGGAAATTACAGGCCGACAACAACAACAACAAAACAACCACAGCAACAACAACCGGTGACGGTGGTGGTAGTGGTGGTAGTGGTAGTAGTGGTGGTAGTGGTAGTAGTGGTGGTAGCGGTGGTAGTGGTGGTACGAGCGTATTGCGTGTTGAACTTCGCAGCCGACCGTGCTAATCGGAGGTGCGGGGGAAGGACTTTAAAACCAAACACAAAATGAAGTTCTAAAGCCATCACAGGAGGCGCTACTAATAGCGTCGCTATTTGCGAACGGCACTTGTGCCAAACGTCCGCTAACGGATCCCTCGCGGAGCTTTGTGTGTCCGTGAGCAGTCCTCACCGTGGCGTGTACGGCTCGTTGGGGGGCGGGGGGATGAAGAGGTTGAGGAGGGCCGACTTGGGTCGCTTGGAGGGTGTTTCGACGACCCTCACCGGGGAGCCAGGGTTGTGCACGGGGCTCACGCCCGCCAGACCCTAGGGGGCGAGGGGAAAATATATGGGGGAGGATTGTCATCATCATCATCATCACCGGCAGCAGCAGCAGCAACAGTGGCGGCATCATCAGTAGTGGCATCATCATCCGCAGCATCATTTCAGTAGCAGCAGCAGCATCAGCAGCAGCATCAGTCATAGCATCATCATCAGCAGCAGCAGCATCATCATCATCAGCAGCAGCATCCACAGCATCATCAGCAGCAGCAGCATCTGCAGTATGATCATCATCAACAGCAGCATTATCATCAACAGCCGCATCATCAGTAGCAGCATCATAATCATCAGCACCAGCATCCGCAGCATCATCATCAGCAGCAGCATCATCAGTAGCAGCCAGCAGCAGCATCAGTTGTAGCATCATCATCAGCATCATCATCAGCATCAGCAGCAGCATCCACAGCATCATCATCAGCATCAGCAGCAGCATCCACAGCATCATCAGCAGCATCATCAGCAGCATCAGCAGCAGCATCATCAGCAGCATCATCATCAGCATCATCATCAGCAGCATCATCACTTATAGCAGCAGCAGCATCATCATCATGGCCCTTCTACATCAGAGCACATAAACCAAGATTTCTGTTCAATTCGTGTGCTATTAAGAAGGGCCATTGCCCGAAACGTTGCCTATTATAGATTTATTACCCTGCTAAGGCCACACGTAGTGTTATTGACGAACGTGTTCAGTGCGTCTTGTCTGTCTCGTATGTTCCTCTCTCTCTGCGAAATGAATAATGAGCCTGGAGTTAACAACATCGCATATGATTTGCATATGCCTTGCCTAAATAACAAATAAGCTATTGTCACGTTACGCGATTCATAATAATTATAATTTTGACCTTTAATCAACTATTCATTACACCACTGTGCTCCGTACTGCGATCGTTGTTCAGCCAAACATATACTTAGAGGAATAACGGCCTAATTAAGGCATCCGCTCTCTTGGGGTGAGGGAGGGGGGGGGGGCGGTGGATGGAGGGGGGCGAGCGGAACCCAAACAATAGCCGTGGTGGTGCGTAATTCATCCGATACGCGTGGGACAGCGTGCTCGCAACAATAGGTGCCTTTCGGATCCGCTATGCACCCCCCCCCGCCCCCCCCCCCCCCTCACAAGCCAATCGCAATTAGTGATGCTGCTCGCGGCTCCGGGATTGTGGCTCCATCCAGGGATTGGCCCGGAGTTTGGCCGAGAGAACTCCACTGCTACGACAGGTTACCCACGTTCCCCCCCCCCCCAGGGCCGCCACCTCCCCCCCCCCCCCGTGCGAATTGCCTGGGTGCAAAGCAATCATTCCAATGCTCTCCTCCGTCCACCCCTCCGCAAGGCGTGGAGTCGTAATTAAAGAGACGAGGTTTTAAAACATAAAAAAATGTAATCCCGTTGTTAGTTCGTGCAGACCAACACCGAGGCGACTGCGTGCCAACAGTTGCACCTTAATCATTGTTTTCTAACACACGAGCCAACTGGTTATAAAAAAATAATAACGCCAATTATTTATCTTGCCCGACATTGCCACGGTGGTGTGTTGTGGCTTGCAACATACCGGGGGCTTGCCAACACAGAGGTCGCCGGTTCGATTCCATCTCCTGGAGCGGCAGCTGAAACAACGGGGCCAGCTTCTCAAATCTGCCCCACTCCCCCACTCCCACATGCCACTTCTGTCCACCCCAAGTCAACCTTTTCCCGTTCCGATGACGTACTTTCATGCACGTCATCTTTCTTCCGATTCCATTCCGAAACCGGAAGAAGCACTGGAACAAAAACTACTTTATCAGCACCGAAACTCCACAAGGCCGTGCAGGAGGGCGTGCGGCACAGTCTGGCGCCGGCTATCGTGGAGTGCGGTCGTGTTGCCACGGTTCTCTGCGGCGAGAACCGTGTCTTTAAATATAATGGCGCTCGCGCTAACTGCTTGCGCGTTGCGGGATTCAGCGGTGAACGGGAGCCCCACCCTGCAACTTGCATCTCGGAACGAGAAAGGGTTAATGGATCAGCGGGCCGTGTGGTGGTGGTGGGGTAAAGTGTGGGTGCTACCGCTCATGTCTCCCAACACGTCTGGCCGGCGTGGAGTCGTCAGCCAAATCGCCTGTCTGGAGCTCCCTCTGGCGGATGCCCTTCTGCCGGCAGTGGCACGAGGAAGCAATTGCAGGACTGCGCCTTTACCTCCTGGGATGTCCGTCCAATTCCTTCAAGGGGAAGGCGTTGCACTCCGCTTTCCAGAGGTTTACAAACTCACTTTCTTGCTCCGACAGTCGCCATTCCTTTGACGGGACGTTAACCCCGGATCGCGACGATTCGCCACGTCACCATTCGCGACGCCCCAAAATAAAACATGGTCCAAAACCACGATTGCTAACCATGAACCCTAGAAATCACGACAATTCACCCAATCGTGCTCGGGGGGACTCGCCGCTCGCTCTCCTTGCCCCTTCCCCACCTGCAACGCCAGCGGCTTCCAGCGCATGTTCTTGAGTGGCGCGGGGTCCGAGTTGAGAGTGCACTGCGGCCTCTTCTTGAGCGTGATGGTCACTCCGCTGGGGTCGTGGCGCAGCGCGTTCACCAGGTTCCGCAGCTGCCACCCAACCTGGGGAGGGGGGGGGGTCGGAGGTCGAAACGACAGGGGGGGGGGGGGCGAGCGTAAAACGTGGCATCGAGGCGTGGATCTATCGAAAGGGGAGATCCGCAGGCGACGTGGTGACGTCTGTGGAATTTAAAACGCACGGGCTTTCGCGACCCAATGTCGTGTCGCGTACCCTGCTCACACCGCATAGGCGGGCAAACATCGTGCCGACGCATTATTGTTTCGACACACACTCCCGCCGGCAATTTTGGCAGAGAAATCCACAACACCGTTTTGACGATTGTGCGCGACATTTCTCCTATGGTCTTTGGGCCCTGAGTAGGAGGCGTGTGATGTCATCGGCACGCCCCCACAGGTGGACACCTATGGGGGGGGGTGGGGGGGGGTGGCAAGAGTGGAGGAGATTTTCACAGTTCCGGAAATTGACGCCGGTTGTAACTACCGGGGGCCGAGACCATCGACTCGCCGAACCTGCGAGGCACCTTGGGTTTTAGTTCGCGGCTAAAATTGCGCGTTTCGAGCGGGAGCATATCGGCAGCGTCTCCAGCCGGCCAAAGCTTCTCGCCTCCCCCCCCCCAAACAGCGTCCTCCCCCCTCGCCCTCGCCACCTCCATCTCATCCACCATTCTTAAGCCAGACACCACTTCTCTCGGCAGGGCAGGGTGCAGGGTCGTGGTGGGAGGGAGGCGGAGGGGGAACTGTGGGAAAACTGGCAATAAAAAAAAATATATAAGAAAAACAGTAACGGGATACTTTATCGTGCCTATTAGCGGGGCCGTGTAAACTCGATTTACGACCACGCTTTATTGTGGAAAACACTGCGAATTATTAGCTGCCGGTATTAAGAGAGAGAGAGAGAGCGCACGTGACAAAAAAAAACTTAATTTATTATTATAATTTTTTATGGGGCAGACAACAATTTTCCTGATTAATACGCCGACGACAGCAGCAACGCTGGGAGACCCTGCAGAAAAAAAAAAAACTCTTTACTCTGCGAGTTTCCCCTCCACATCTATCTTTACTCCCCCCCCCCCCCTTCAACTAGGAACTTCCAGCTGCGACGAATAATTACGCTTAAAACATTCCACCGACTGAAGCACAAAACAACCAGCCTACCCCATCAACTACCACCACCGCCACCTCCTCCTCCACGGCCACGATTGTGTCGGCCGTGACAGTGAGGCCCGGTTATAATGAATGCGCCGGCAGCGTCCGACTGCCGCACCCGCGCCCTGACGTTCATCCCCGACGTTCGTCGTGCATAAATAACCACCTTCGGGTGCATGCCGGCGTGTTATTATAACAGCTCGTTAATAGCCAGCTATTACGGAAGAGTGATTTCAATTACGCGCAAATTGGCCCTCCTTCCGTTGGCTTGGAAAGAGGATGATGTTATTTGGGTAGTTTCACTTGTTACATTTATATATTGTTGTTCTTTTCTCTCCCCCACCCCTCTGGCTCCCGTTTGTCTGGTGGAATTGTAAACGTGCCAAAGCTGGATGTTTTTATTTATTTATTCTTCATATAATAACCGTATATTTATTTTATACCGGTCATGTGCCTCGGTGGCAGTGGAGTGAGCGGCTCGCAACCGGAAGGTCGCGAGTTCAACTCCTGGTCTGGCTGGATGGCGGGGGAGGGAGTAGTGGGAAGTTGACTCAGCCCATCATCATCATCATCATCCCTCCCATCGGGGTCGATAAAACAGGCACCACTTTGTGGGCAAGTCGGCAGTGGTTGCCGTCCAACGCAATGTGGAATTTCCATCACTGGCTTCTGCAGGGGCCGTTAACGGGAGATGAGCAACGCCGCCTCAATTCTCATTTGAGCGACGGGAAATCACTTTGGCGTCCGGCTCCGTGCGATTTACAAACTTGCTCCAATGGGAATTGAATTGTCAACTGCGCGCTAAGAGGCTGCGCGTTACCACTCAGGGGGGGGGGGGAGCGTGGGGGCGAGCAATCGCGCACGTCAAACACGATTTTTTTTAAGCGCCGGAGATTTTGACTGGGAGCTGAGGGACAGGGTGGGAGGGGGGGGGGCAGGATGGGTGGCTCCAATGATTTGTGTATTTATTCTAAAACACCAAAAAAACTAAAAAGGTTCAGAACTAGAGGATTAGGCCGAGTTACACTACCGTGATACTTGACTGGAGTGGGGGTGATGTGGGAGAGGGGGGTGCGAGGTGGGGGGGTGGCGAGGGGGGGGTGCGAACAGGAGACACTCTCCGGTGCAACCTTTCAAGCTCCAATGCTGCTCCACCCCGCCCCCCCCCACCACCCTTTGATCTTAGCCCCCTGAAGGATTATGGGATAAAGAGTAGAGGGGGGGGGTAGAATAACACGGCTTCCCAGACTTTTTATTTTGTTTCACGATAAAAAAATAATTCCCGCTGGGTTCCTTCCACGGCTAATATAATTCACTACGGTCACAAAACGCCACGCTTTACACGCGCCCCATCGCGATCACGGGCCACGCCGTTGCTCGTCGTCATCGTTGACCGACGTCGCCCGTGACCCCTCCACCGCTAGATCAAGGCGATCTTGATCGAACCGATCCATCTCGGCAGCTGCACGCGAGCCGATTTCCCGGCTCCGTCTCCACGCATCCCCCCACCCACCCACCCACCCCCCCCCACCACGTGTTTATTCGTCGTGCTTTTGAGCCGGCGCCACGTCGGCAGAAACCGCGTTTCAAAACAACGCGGCGCAGCCCCTGCAACTTCTTGCTCACGCAGCTGCTGGCCGATGTGACTCTCGAGTGGGGAGTTGTTGGGGATCGCCTTCTTCCACGCTAGCTCGTAGGTGGGCGTCATAGTGCCTATGAAATGTTAACTACCTCGCCTGGTATGCAGGAGGTCGTGGGTTCGAGCCTGACGCCTGCTGCTGTATATTTGGAGTTTGCGTGTCTCTCTCCCCGTGGCCGTGTGGATTTCTCTCCGAGTCCTCCGGTTTTTTCCCTTCCACATTTAGAATCAACGTGCGTCTAGGGAGCATTTGGCTGCTACAAATGTCCACGTGGTAAGCCACGTCGCTGAGCTATCAGTTATGGGCCAGGTCGCTTCTGACAAAAGAGCTGCATAGCTCCGTGGGGCCTTACCTGGCGATGTAGAAATAGTAAAGTTTTAGGCCTCGGAAAGAGGCGGGGGGGGGTGCCCACAGTTTACCCCACCACAAGAGACCTGCCGAATGTGGTACCCCCCCCCCCCCCATCTCTCTATCGTCATGGCCACGCTGCCTTGGGGCTGTTCTTTGTGAAACACGACTCCCTCTCGTCCCCTCGATTTGTTTTCTCTTCCGTCTCGACGCGGGCGAGCGCTCTATCGACAGAAGGTAGAGAGAGAGGAGGCAGCGGGATCAGCCCCCGAAGGAGGCGTCAGCCGCAGCGCAATGAAGGGATCTGATGTCGCCCCAGCATCCACAGTCGATCGCTAACAGCACTTGCCCCAACAACCTTTGTGGGCTATACTGGCGGAGGCAGGCAGGGAGGGGGGTCTTTGTCTTTGTATGCTAGTAGAGTACACGTGGGTGGGTGGATGAGCGAGTTTGTGGTTGGGTTTGATGATAAAGACGTGCTTGTGTGCGTGTGAGCATGTGTCGGGGTACAGGCTGAGTCACTTTGAAAGATAATTTCTCCCTATGATTTTTATTTGGTACCTAGAAATGTGTGTGTCTGTGTGTGTGTGTCTGTGTGTGGGGAGCGGTAGTGTAGCGGTTAGTGCGCTGCGCTATGAACCTGGCGACCCGGGTTCGATTCCCGCTCACGGCCAACACCACGTGACGATCATCTGAACCGGTCCCGGGCCTCCCCTAGGTCGACTCAGCCTCAAATGAGTACCTGGTGCGGTGTGTAAACATTGCCACTAGGGAGACAAAGGCGGTCGGGCGTGGTGCTGGCCACACACCCCCTCGTGTACCGTTCCGGCCTTCATAGGTGCTCGCTAACAGCACTTGCCCCTACAGTCTGTTAAGACTATACGGGGGATCTTTGTTTTGTGTGTGTGTGTACGGGCATGGGGAGTGGTTGTGGTGGTTAGCGGCGCTGTGCTACGAACCCGGTGACACGAGTTCGATTCCTGCTCACGGCCAACACCGGTGGTGACGATTATCTGAACCGGCCCTTGTCCTTCCCTAGGTCGACTCGGCCTCAAATGAGTACCTGGTTGCGGTGTCTAAAAACATCCCCACCGGGGGAGACAAAGGCGGACCCTGGCGTGGTGCTAGCCACCCACCCCCTAAATGTTCCGTGCCTGGCCCCTCACAGCACTTGCCCCAACAGTCCGTTAAGGCTATACGGGGGATCTCTGTCTTTGTGTATCAGCGCGTAGAGCGGCAGCGCAGCGAGAGGCACCGTGGCCTCATGAACCCGCCGCAACGCGACTTTGATTCCCGGCCACGGCTAAGCCAACACCAGTGGCAAGCCACATCGGAACGGGTGCCAGGCCTCGGCTGGTTCAACTCAGCCTTAAATCAGTAGCCGGAGCGATGTGCAAAGATGTGCGTTGGTGTGCGACCGAGGCAACCAAACGGGGCGCGGTGTGGTAGCCACACCACCGCCAGCATTAATAGGTGCTCGCTGACAGCACGTGCTCGAACGGTTTGTAAAAGGCTTATACAAGGGGGGGGGGGGGGTGTGGGTGTTGTTCTTTGTCCTTGTGTGGATGTACAGACGCAGAAGGGAGTGTGGGGCGGCGGGGGGGGGGCAGCGGAGAGATCACGTTACAGCCCAACACCCCAATTGACCCTTTCCCACCACCACATTTCCACCACCACTGCCACCAACCACCACCACCAACCACATTCCCTCCGCACCAGTGAGTGAGCTCATTGATTTCCACGCCGACTCTCTTTCCGTGACGTCACACCACCCCCCACCACTCGCTCACTCGGAGCCCACCTCGCATGTCCTCCTCCACCTGGCGACAGAATGGTGCCATTACTCCGAACGCCACAAAGGCAAAGATCCCCCCGGATAGCCTTCGCGCACTGTTGGGGCAAGTGCTGTTAGCGAGCACCTATTAAGGGCGGCACCACACGTGAGGGGGTGGGTGGTCAGCACCACGCCCGGCCGCCTTTGTCTCCCCAGCAGTGATATTTACACACCGCACCAGGTACTAATTTGAGGCTGAGTCGACCTAGGGGAGGCACTAAACCGGTTCAGATAATCGTCACCGGTGTTGGCCGTGAGCGGGAAGCGCTGGGCGCTAACCTCTACACTTCCGCTCCCCTCAATCTCACGCACACACAGAGCACGTACACACGTACCCTTATACATAGCAGAGGCAATAAAAAAAAGTGCGAGGTGGTGCCACATAACTATGGAGTTGCAGAAGCACTCTGACGGAATGCTGGCCCTGGACTGAACGTAACTCAACCATACTCAGCCATGGGTGCCCAAGCAGAAACAGATTGGAAGTAAAAAACATTGAAGCAATGTCTCTTCCACTAAACCACGTGGAAGATTTACTCACCAAAGCTGATAAAGATCGGCCGTCGAGCCTCGAACGCACTGTCGGGGCAAGTGCTGTTAGTAGCGAGCGGCACCCTGTGAAGGCCGGCGCGGCACGCGAGGGGGTGGGTGACCAGCTACCAGCACGACCGAGCACACCTACGCATTTGACAGGTGCCCCAACCAGGATCGTAGGGAGAAGTCATCTTTGAAGGTGATTACCTGCCGCTCAAATGAGCATCCAGGCATTGGCGCTCACCTCCGATTTACAGCCCTGAATCAGCGGCGGACAATTCCACGTTTCACAAGGCGAAGGCGAGTCTATCCATGCCCCCCCCCCCCCCCCCCCCGATTTGCCGTACCCCTAGGGGATTGCTCTGCCCCACCCCCACACCCCCAAAACCAGGATCTGAACTCACAACCTTCCGGCTGCGATCTCCTCGTTCTACCGCTGAGCCACTCGATCGGTTATAAATTACAGGGAAAGCGACGTTTCAATTCCAAGCCACTGCGCGTGTCCCAACCAGTCTCGACCCCCCCCCCCCCCGCCGCCTTTATTAAATCACAGCCAGTCTGATCTGCTTGCAAACACCCAACGCTGAGTCAGCTGATGTCACACTGATATATCAGTGGGGCATCGATGAATGGATCACCCTGTTTGTCACGTCAAAATCACCATGAGCGTCATTGCCGCGATTATAAATAACAAAACTAAGCAGGCGATATGTGTCCTTCGCATGTCCGTGTCTCGACGTAAAAAAGAAAATGTTTTTGTTACGCAAACTATCAGCCGCACGGCCTTCTGGGAGTGCAAAATTGTACGTAGCATTTTTGCAGACAAGCAAACTCTGCACCGGTTTCGACATGCAATGTCTCATCGGTAGAGTAAGACTTGAGTCAATGCTGGTGAACCGCCAATCTTACAGGCAAGGGACCCTTCCCCCCCCCCCCCACCTTACGACACAGGGTCTCAGTTCGATGCAAAATTCTAGAGGGGCACATGGGAGCGCAAAACGGGGAGAGCAAAACGACCAGTGGGTGAAGGAGCTTCATCACTGGAAGAACGTACGGAAGAGGTGGATGGCAGCTGATGCCACCGCCTGCGATGGCCCATCGCCACCGCCGGTGACAACTCATCACCACCGAATCGTCACTGCCGCCATCAATGGGCCCATCACGTGACCACCGCCGCGCGTGACGAGCCATCACCGCCGCCCCGCGGCGGCCCATCGCGCGCCGGCGAGTTAATCCCTGCGCCGCTCTTTGACGCGGCGCAAAAGTCGTCCCGCCAATTAACGTCGCCACTATCAATTAGCGGAGCTGGGTGGTGATGTGGCATCGCGCACCGCGCCTGCCGGTCTCATTCACCCCGCGGCCGCTAAATCAATTTATCCACCGCCGCCGCTGGATGCGCTTGCGAAATCAACAACCGGCGCGAAATGAATTAAACTCGGAAGCACGCGGGTCGGAGAGCGACGCCGCCGGCTCGAGGCACCGTCGTCTCGACCGTCAAGGAAAAGGAAAGTGCACGGCTCGGGGGCGGTGGGTGGGGGCTCGCAGGCCGCTGGTGGCGCGTAAGTGGTGGCCAAAAGGAGAGAATGGACACTCTTCCCCCGAGAGAGAGAGAGATCACACCCGCCGCGGAGATGGAGCGCCCCGAGATCGTTGCGCGAGGGATGGCGACGGCTTGCAGGGGGGACGGGGTCTTCGCATCCAGCAGTGGATGGGCCACGGCTGACCACATTGACGGTGAACTTCCAAAGTCATCATTTGCACTCTGCTGCGTTGGAGAATGGGACACTCAAACGTGCCGTAGGCTTTCACAGACTCAAAAAATATTCACGTTCAAACTTAAAACAAACCCAGCTCAGCTGGCTCGCAATCGTGAAGTTGCGAGTTCAAACCTCGAGACAGTGCTTTTGTTCTTCCTTCCTAACACAGTAACACAACGCTCGCATTAGGGGGGGGGGAGTCCACAAATGGCTGTTTTATGGTGTTATGGACCGACCGTCCCACGTGCACCCCCCAGCACCACCGTAAGAAATGTGGAATTTCCATCGCTGTGGCTCCAAGCCTCCGTCCGTGGGGATGAGCAGTCGGCCGGGTGGGTGCAGGGGGTGGGTGCAGTGGGGGGGGGGGGGGGAGCAGGGGGCGAGCGGAGGGAGGGGGGCGAACGGGGGGTGAGGAGTGCAGGGACGTGGTGACTTTGATTCTCGCGCATTCGGCGTTTTGCTTCCTAGTATCTTGGGTCGCGTGGCGTCGGCGGCGACTGTTCGGAATGCCCCCCCCCCCTTCCCGCCCGCTGTATAAATGATGAACGGGGGGGGGGGGGGGGGGGGGGGGGAAGTTACCCGCGGCTGGCATTCATCGCCGTCAATTTGACAGGGGGGAGCGGGGAGGGGGGCGGGGGAAACAATGGGGAGAGGGGTGCGAGAGAAGAACGGGCCCGAGATTAGGGCCAATTCACGCGGGGAGGGCACGGCGCAACGGCGCTGCATCCCTCGCTCGCGCCGGCTGAACGGCGGGGCCCCCTGCAACTGCTCGCTGACGCCCGCTGCTGCCGGAAGGACTCCCCCACTTGAGAGTGAGAGCGCCCTCTCCCGTGGGATGGGGCACCACGCTTAGTGGGAGAGGAGACCCAGTACCCTCTCCCGAGCTCGCTCTTTCTCTCGCCTGCCGAGCCGAGGGCCTCCCCGTCCCAGCCAGCGGTGGGCGTCAGCGCGGGCGGGGATTGCGTCTGTTTTGGTTGTAACATTACAAAGTTCCTGTTCCGGCGAGCAAGCGCGTGAGCGAGCGAGTGGTGTCGGGGGGGTGGCTATGACGTACCACCGTCTGTCCGTTCACTTGGATGACTTCATCGCCCGCATGAATTTTCTTGCAACGATCGGCAGGGGACTGTGGGAGGGAGGGAGGGAGAGGGATGGGTGGAAAGTCAGGTTTCGGCTTTAAAGAAACAAAAAAATTGCCACAGGCGGCCGGCTGGGCTCAGCGGCAGAACGAGCGGCTGCTCGCAAATCAGGAAGACCACGTGGTGAAGCTGACAGAAGACGACGATTATGAAACAAATAAAAAAAAATTCACAATATAGAACGACTTTGGTAATGGTGGAGACGATGCACATGGTTCCAGAAGAGCAGTGATGACGCTGCTGCCAATGATATAAAAAGTATTTATTACATGCTGATGAAAATGTTTGCCTGGATTACTATATAGGCGGTGATGATGATGATGATCACTCATCTGATCGACACAACAATTAATCCAGCTGCCTAACATCCGAAGGGGCTGTCCCAAGACTTGCCCCCACACCCCCACCGAGCCCAGCCACCACCACGAGCCCCTTGCACACAAAACCTCCATCCCACGCACGTGCAGGCAAGCCACAGCTGCCGTGGGGATCGTATAACCACCCCGACCAACACTTCCACCCCTCAAGCCCACTCCTCCACGAGCTGTTACATCAGCTGCCGCTCAGCACCTGCAAGTCATCATCATCAACATCCACAGCAGCAGCAGCATCAGCATCCATGATCTATCTACTGTTGGACGAAGGCCGTCAATATCCCCCCCCCCCCGCCACCACCACTAACCCCTCCGTTGTGATTATTCGTCGCGTTTTTTGGGGCCAGGCGACCGCACCACGTGGGCAGAAGCTGCGTTTCAAAACATCGAGGCGCAGACACCGCTGCAACTTCTCGCTCACGCCGCTGCTGGCGGGAGCACTCTCAGACTTCTAGCGGGGGGGGGGGGGGGGGGGGTGGGGTGTTGGGGGTCGCCTCCTTCCACGCTCAGTCATAGGGAGCGCACCATTGGTGGCTAGGAAATGTTAACTACCTCGCCTGGTATGCAGGAGGTCGTGGGTGCAATCCTGACCCTGACGCCTGCTGCTGTGTATTTGGAGTTTGCGTGTCTCTCTCCCTGCGGTTGCGTGGATTTTTTCTCCGGGTCCTCCCGTTTTTTCCCCCCGTCAACCATCGCATTAAAAAATATCGTATTCGGAGTCTGGCTGTAGTGGAGGCTCATCTGCAGCCCACACCACCCCGCTCCCGTCCCCCGAGGTGTTTTCTGGTTGTGTGTGAGAAACCCCCCCCCCATAAGGTGAGAGGTGAGACGCAAAGCACAGGTAGGTGACCCGACCCCGCGACCCCGCGACCTTTCCTCGCGCACCCCCACCAGCGCCGTGTTTTCAACGTCTCGGGCAATTCATCGGCGGACAATGGAACCCCTTCTGCACGTGGATGTGGCAGACGCACGGCGAAAGGCCTATCTCGTGCGCGATACGATAACCCCCCCCACTCCCACCCACACACTTCCCCCTACGATCCCCCCCACCCCCCGCCCTACGGCCCTTGTGGAGCAATAGGGGGGGAGGGGAGGGGATGACGACACACTCGGAGGAACAAGCGCGCCCCTGTGTTTAAAGAGACAAGTGGCGCAGGTCTTCCAGAGCCACAGCGACGAGACAGACGGAGTTACAGAGACGCTATCTGTCCTGCTGATCCGGAGCGGAACACTGCTGTGCCGAGGTGGGGGAGGGGGGGGTATCGATTAATTGTTCAGTCCATGACGATGGCACGTTTTAAAAAGGGGGGTTATCGGGGGATGACTATGGGGTGATTTGTTGAGCGGGTGTTTTGTTTATTGTTATCGCGTGTGCCCGCACAGACGCATTATCCGCGAGATCAAAATAAAAAAAACCTGAACAAAATCATCCCACGGCCCGCGGCTAACAATAGCGCCCTGCCTACATTCCCGGCTCGCCTTGCGTGCATTTGGCGGAGCGGGAGAGGCGAACCGGCTTGCTTGGGGAAGTGGTGAGAGCCAGGGATGGAAATGATTTCAGCAAAAACTTTCCGCCGACGTGCTCCAAAACGAGTCGGGGAATTGGCGCAGTTCGGATTCAAGAAATCGATTCAGGAATGCATTAACAAAAAAAATACAACAATTATTGTTTCATTCTGCTTGTTTACCCTGCGGGGGAAAAGCCTCACAGAGTCTCAAGTCTTGTTTTCGGGTGGGTGCTGCCAATGATCCAAAGAAGGTAGCGGTGATTGCTGCTGCTGCTGCTGCGTACACTGCCAGTTGAGTGATTTGCAAGTGCCACAGTAGCGAGATGTTAGCTACCTTTGCCTGGTATACAGGAGGTCAGGGGCTTGATCCCGACCCTGACGCCTGCTGCTGTATATTTGGAGTTTGCGTGTCTCTCTCTCCCCGTGATCGCGTGGATTTTTCTCCGGGTCTCACGGTTTTTCCCTCCACATTTAGAATCAAGACACGTCTAAAGAATTTGGCTGCAATAAATTTCCACATGATGATGAGCGACTTCATTGAGCTATCATTTGTGGACAGTACCCTTCAAAGAAAAGAGCTACATAGCTCAGTGGGCCTTAGCTGGTAAAATAAAAAAAATATAGATTATAGTTTTAAATAGTTTATTTATTAATTGTTTTATTTATCAATTGTCACATATTTCTGACCGTGATGCCAGCACGAGATGTGTCTCCATATGTGAGCCTATTGGTCATCGTGTGAGTCTATGGGTCTCCGCGTGAGTCTCTGGGTCTCCGTGTGTGTCTATGGGTCACCGTGTGAGTTTATGGGTCTCCGTGTAAGTCTCTGGGTCTCCGCGTGAGTCTCTGGGTCTCCGTGTGTGTCTATGGGTCACCGCGTGAGTCTATGGGTCGCCGTGTGAGTTTATGGGTTTCCGTGTGAGTTTATGGGTCTCCGTGTGAGTCTATGGGTCTCCGTGTGAGTCTATGGGTCTCCGTGTGTGTCTATGGGTCACCGTGTGAGTTTATGGGTCTCCGTGTAAGTCTCTGGGTCTCCGCGTGAGTCTCTGGGTCTCCGTGTGTGTCTATGGGTCACCGCGTGAGTCTATGGGTCGCCGTGTGAGTTTATGGGTTTCCGTGTGAGTTTATGGGTCTCCGTGTGAGTCTATGGGTCTCCGTGTGAGTCTATGGGTCTCCGTGTGAGTCTCTGGGTCTCCGCGTGAGTCTGTGGGTCTCCGTGTGAGTCTAATCGTCTCCTTGCGAGTCTATGGGTCTATACAATACAATAGAATGATGCGGATTTACATCACGACGTCCGCCTAAATGGGAGCCGCATCCCTAGACGGCTCGACAGAAACAGCGAGGGAGGTGTTCCCGCAGTCACCAGCAACGAGATACAGTCTGGAACCTAGATTTGAACAGGGGCAGGGAGCCAACAGCACGGGCGGCTGGGTGGTGGAGGCGGTGGGAAGCTCCAGACAATTGTGGGAGCAGACGTGCCAGAAGCAACAGTGACCTCCATTAAACTATTCACGCTGTGGAAACATCTTTACCGCAAGCCCTCCCCCCCCCACCCCAAAAAAATACAGAACGTGCTGCTCATATTCCTATTATTTTCCTCCTCCTCCTCCTCCTTCTCATCCGCACGCATTTTGAGCGAGTAATGGGCCGTAAGTAAGAAGCATTATCGCCTTTTTTCGGCTTAACGACCCGGCCCGGCGAAAAGGGCGCGGAGACTGGCGGGGGGTGGTGCGGGTGGGAGCGAAACGCGCGAATTTAACGCCACGGCGCACCGCCGCCACTGCCGCCACCACCACCGCCACCACCACCACCACCACCACCACCGCCACCACCGCCACCACCACCACGTGTGCACGGTCGGTCGAGCTCCACGGCGCTAACCATCGTGCCGTAGCCCCTCCATTGCTCGCCCTAATCCGCCCGGGAACACGGCATCTGTTAAAATAACGACCGCCCGTAAATAAGGCTCGGAGGCGGCCAGGCGATGGCTGCGGAGGAGGAGGCAGGTGTTTAGGATTCCGTAAGCAGCGTGATATCGGCGAGCCAATGTTTGCCATCGCGCTTTATTTATTTGCGCGTTATGAGCTTGTTAGGGGCGAGAGCGGTCGCCATTGGTATTCAGCGTGAAGTGGAGCCCTCCCACCTTGCCTCGCCCCCTCCGCTCGCTGTCTCTCTGCATCTCTCACTCCCTTCACCTCGTCTTCACCGCCCTTCCAGCTCTCACCACCTCCTTTCATCCCTCCCTCCTTCCACTCGCGCTCTCTCTCCATCCCTGCAATCTTCACCTCCCTTCCATCTCTTCCCTACCTCCCTTCCATCTCTCACCACCTCCTTCGGTCCCTCCCCCCTTTCACCACTCGCTCGCTACCTCCATCTCTCCCTCCCTTCACTTAATCTTCACCTCCATGATTCCCTACCTTGCTGTATCTCTCCTTACCTCCCCCAATGGCCTCCCCATCCTCCCCTCCCTCCACTCATCTGCACTTCCCTCCATCCATCCCTCCCACTTACTCTAACCCCCCCCCCCCGCCCCCCCCCCCCCCCGTTTTCGCGTGGATTTTGCTCCGGGTCGTCCGGGTTTCTCCCTCCGCAATTAGAATCAACGTCACGCGTTCGAGATTATTCGGCTGCTATAAATGTCCGCGTGACGGTAAGTCACTTCGTCGAGCCATCATCACGTGTGGCCAGGTCGCTACTGAAAAAAGAACGAAAGGAGAGCTCACGCAGCTCAGCGGTGGGGGGCCTTGCACGTCGTGAGACAAAAGGCGGTTCCCACCGCCACCGTGGCCGCGTCGACCGTGCGGCGGCTTCGGAATTAACGACTCGGCGGCAGTTCGGCGGACGCACGCACGCACACACACACACACGCAAGCACGCACACACGCATGCACACACGCATGCACACACGCACGCACGCACACACGCACGCACACACACACACACACGCATGCACACACGCACGCACACACACACGCACGCACACACACACACACACGCATGCACACACGCACGCACACACACACGCACGCACACACACACACACACGCGCATGCACACATGCACGCACACACACACACACGCATGCACACACGCACACACACACGCACACACACACGCACGCACACACACATGCACACACACACGCGCGCGAGTCTCGCGCAGGGAGCCACTCTGAGCAACCCCGGCAACGCGAGTGAGCAAGAGAGAGAGAGAGGGGACAGTGAAACACGAGCCTCGTTCACGAGGGATAACGCTCGCCGCCGCCGCTGCCGCCGCCCGAGCGATAAAGGCGGCGGTTGAAGGCGCCGTGACTGGCAGGCCGTCTCGGGTTTAAAGCAACGCGAGCCTTGCTTCAGCACGGCAGCGGTGGAGAGGGCACGAGCATGGGTGGGTGGTGGGGTGTGAAATCCAATTATTTATTAACTCTGACCTCTGCGGATGCTGCTCAAGTTGCCCTGGAGGTGGTGAAACGAGTATGGCCACATGCCACCTGTGCAACCAGACTCCCCTGAGAGGCCGTCTCCAAAGATAAAGATTCCCCTCCCCCCCCCGCTTCCCAGAGCCTTAACAGACTGTTGGGGTAAGTGCTGTTAACAAGTAGCACCTATGAAGGCTGGCAGGGCACACGAGGGGGTGGGTTGCTGGCACTACGCCCAGCCGCCTTTGTCTCCACAGTGGCGAATGTTTACACACCGCACCAGGTATTCATTTGAGGCCGAGTCGACCTAGGGGAGGTCCAGGACCGGTTCAGGTTGGTGGCCTTTAGCGGGACACGGGTAGCCGGGTTCGTAGCGCAGCGCGTTAAACTGCTGCACTACCGCTCCCCCCCACACACAAAAGACAAAGATCCCCCGTATAGCCTTAACAGACTGTAGGGGCAAGTGCTGTTAGCGAGCACCTATGAAGGCCGGATCGGTACACGAGGGGGTGGGTGGCCAGCACCACGCCCGACCGCCTTTGTCTCTCTAGTGGCAATGTTTACACACCGCACCAGATACTCATTTGAGGCTGAGTCGACCTAGGGGAGGCCCGGGACCGGTTCAGATAATCGTCACTGGTGTTGGCCGTGAGCGGGAATCGAACCCGAGTCGCCAGGTTCATAGCGCAGCGCGCTAACCGCTACACTATCGCTCCCCCTCCCCCCACACACGGACATACACACACACACAGCCATTGACACTGTTGGTCTTCCTCTGCGCACCGCTGTCTCTGAACAACGCTGCCGAATGATCTCCCGCCTGCCCCTGCGTTCAGGTTCCATTCACTTCGTCTCGTCAGTCGGCCGCAGTCATCATCATCACCACCACCTCCACCGGCATCATCGTTGTCAGCACCGTCATCGCGCTCGGTGATTGTCCACCACACATCATCGTCGTCGTCACCAACGTGGCCAACGAAGCTAACAAACACGCGGGATCACTCACGTTCTCCATGGTGCCCGTGATGACGTGTAGCCCGTCGTACGTCGACTTGATGTACAGGCCCTGCGGAGGAAGGGGGGGGGTGGGGGAAGACAAAGGCAAAGGAGCGGTTACGCGAGCGCCGCTTGCTTCATGCCGCAGCATCTCCGACGGGCGCGGTCGGCTACGTACGGCGCGGGGGAAAAAGAGTTTACGCGTACGCACGTACACGCGTACAAAACCGCGTCGTCGTTTAAAGCGCGCACGCCGGCGGTGCACTCGGGAGAAGCGAGGCGACGGTCGGGCGCCGAGTTCGGCTCGCGAATAAAAACACCGCCGGCAAACAGGCGGATCGAAACGTCGGACGTGGACGGGCGCCCGGCTCGGAGAAGCCCCGCGTCCGTTTTGTCGTCGGGCGCCGGGGTTGGGAGCTCGCGCGTTCACGACGGGGCGCGGAGGCAGCGAAACAAAACAAAAAAACCGTGAAACAAATTAGGCGCAGGGCTTTCACGTCAAAAAACAACGTAATTCCCCAACCCCGATCCTTCTTCACGGGGCGAGGAGATTAAGCGAGCGTTTAGAGAAAACTCTCTCACTGCAAACATCGCGCGGGCGGCGGCGGCTGCGGCGGCACGTCGTAATTTAATCCAGCGATGCAATAACACGCGGACGAGATGTTATTATTTCTTCCCGAGCGCCGTTTTATGGTCCGGTGGCTTTAAATGCTTTCTCGCCATCATCACTATCAGCAGCAGCATTATTGTTATTATTTTTGGATCGTGAGCAAATATCTCCTTAACTACAATTGCGATCGAATCCCAAAGACCAAATCCCCGCGGTTCAGCATGGGTTGAGATCTCACGGTCGGGTCTAATTAAGCCATAAAGGGCCCAGCAAGGCCACAGGCTCCCTATTACGGCGGCGTTACCGTCCGTCCGGGATGGCCACAACCATAATTGCACAATTAGTTGTTCGGAGGTGGGGGGAGGTGGGTGGGGGGCACGCGGAGGGTTGGGTTGGGAGAGAAGAGCGAATATGAAAATGGGCAGCGTTGCACGGGGCCCCCTCTGTATTCTGCACACATTCTTTTAAATATGTACGTACAATTTTCTTGGGGGGAACATTGTCCCCGTCGCTTACCGAGAAAATTAATTCGTGGAACAAAATTCGGCTGCCCTTGCCAGGCTCTTGGGCAAGCTTAGTGAACATCTGCTGAGAGATTGGCAGACGTCGTGTCGAGTTTAGGCCTTTTTTTTGGTGGTTTGTCAGCGCTCTCTCACCCTCTCTCTCTCTCTTACCCTCCCTCTCTCTTACCCTCTCTCTCTCTGTTACTCTCTCTCTACCCTCTCTCTCTCTCTTACCCTCTCTCTCTCTCTCTTACCCTCTCTCTCTCTCTTACCCTCTCTCTCTTACCCTCTCTCGCTCTCTTACCCTCTCTCTCTCTCTCTATTACCCTCCCTCTCTCTTACCCTCCCTCTCTCTCTTACCCTCTCTCTCTCTCTGTTACTCTCTCTCTTACCCTCTCTCTCTCTCTGTTACTCTCTCTCTCTTACCCTCTCTCTCTCTTACCCTCTCTCGCTCTCTTACCCTCCCTCTCTCTTACCCTCTCTCTCTGTTACTCTCTCTCTTACCCTCTCTCTCTTACCCTCCCTCTCTCTTACCCTCCCTCTCTCTTACCCTCTCTCTCTCTTACCATCTCTCTCTCTGTTACTCTCTCTCTTACCCTCTCTCTCTCTCTTACCCTCCCTCTCTCTTACCCTCCCTCTCTCTTACCCTCCCTCTCTCTTACCCTCTCTCTCTCTCTTACCCTCTCTCTCTCTGTTACTCTCTCTCTAACCCTCTCTCTCCCTCTCTCTTACCCTCCCTCTCTCTTACCCTCTCTCTCTCTCTTACCCTCTCTCTCTCTCTTACCCTCTCTCTCTCTTACCCTCTCTCTCTCTGTTACTCTCCCTCTCTCTTACCCTCTCTCTCTCTCTTACCCTCTCTCGCTCTCTCCCGACGTGCACTACTCGCGGGTTTGCGCCGCGTGCGTGCGTGCGCTGTCGTTCGGCACCGGTGTCCCGACGTTTCGCCGTCAAGTGCCGGGGAGCTTCGCCGGGATTTTTTTCTGCTTCGTTGTTGTTTTTCATGGAACAATATTCCCCCCCATTTACAACAACAACAACATCGCAAGCAATAGGGGTAGAAAAGGGCTACGCAGTTATAGTTGAGCCCGCTCACTGTCTCCCTCGCCTTGACCGACAACCCACCCCAGTGCACCTCGTTGGACCGACCCATAAATACAATCGTGACACAATAACCGAATTAATGAATGGATGAACGTGGCCACGCAGAGCCCTCTGGGAGTCTCGGTGATGCCCATCTCAACGTTCTGACCCCGTTGCCCCTACGGAACGTCTGTGAAAAAGAGCTTCAAAGCTCATCGGATTTCTACAGTGTAAATACATATTCTGATTGTGAGATGATGATTGCACAGCCCCTAAGGGACGCTGGGATTAACACTCCTCCTCGGTGAAGGCGGGGGGGGGGGGGGTGACCGGCCAGGGGTGTAGCCACCATGGGGTTCTAGGCACTCCCAACTACCCCCAGCCCCAAGAGGTTTGCAGCGGGATTAATCTCTCTCGCCTGGTATGCAGTTGGTCGTGGGTTCGATCCCGACCCGGGCGCCTCTATAATTTGCATGCTCTCCCCGTGGTCACGTCGAGTCTTCTCCGTGTTTTCCTTCCACATTTAGACTCAACATGCACTTAAAGAGTTTTTTTGGCTGCTGTAAATTTCCACGTGATAAGCCACTTCAGATAAGGAGCTAGAAAGCTCAGTGGGTCTTATCTGGCAAAATAAAAAAAATAGTTTAGTTTAGATATGTGGCAAAGAGACACCCACATTGTTTTGGACCAAAAAAAATAATCTAATCTTGGTTTGTGTTGCTGATATAAGCATAACTCCACTGTGTTTCCACGTAAATATGACAGAATGTTTAAGTCCGTCAGACTATCGGCTTTCCAAGCAAAAATATTACCAAGTGGTGATTGTTTAAGGAAGCAAAATGTGGACCTGTCTCCGCCCGTCTGGGTCCCATCAGCAGAGCGAAGCAGCTCGTGAGACAAAATGCTGCCGTATTCACCAAGGCGTCATCGATCAAATCCACGGTGCCCCGGTGTAACGCGAGGAACGATACGGCACACAAAGTCATCACGGGCACGCATTGCCCTCGCAGCATTGCTGCTGGAAAGTGGCTAAATAAATATTGCAGGGTTTGATGGTCACATTCCTCTATTGCCTTCAACAAAGGTGACACAAGTGCTGATTATGTATGCCGATGATGGAACCTCTGAATACACAGATAATTATTATAAATACACAGATGGGATCAGCAGGCTCAGCACTGAGTCACGGATCCCATCTGTAATCTCTACCAGTCACTACGGGCAGCCATTCGCATAGCCAGGGCCCCCCCTCCCTGCCTCCTCCCATCACCAACATCCACAGCGTGTCTGCGACCCTGCGTAGAGATCTGTTAGCTGCAAGCAACCTCCACTCACTCGCTCTGAAAAAAGAAGCTAATAGCTCAGTGGGTTTATACCTGATAAAATTTAAAGTAGTTTTTTTTTTGCGTGTGATTTTGCTTACACTGCCCATACTTTGCACTCCTACCACGTTGTTTTTTTTATTTGTTTGTCGTTGTAACTTTCTGACCCACCCGCTCCCTCCTGGACATCTGTGCAAAAGAGCTTCATAGCTCATCGGTTTCCTCCTCCAGCATCAATAAAGATTCTGACTCCGAGGAGGAAACCCCACGCAGAACACGGGAGGGAGAACTTACAAACTCCACACAGAAGGGGCTCCCGGGTCGGGAATCGAACCCAGGCCCCCACCATCATTCTTGCCCGCGATGCACGAGCGTTTAACCGGCGCGCCACCGCGTTGTTCCGTCGGGGGTGGCATGTGGAACCCTTATCGGAAGGAGGGAGCGGCGACCAAGACCCCGGCGGGTCACCAAAACGTTGTGCGGCGAAAGGACGCGGCAGCGGCAGCTGCGGCAGGCTAATCTTTCACGCCAGCGGAGGAAAGCCCCGCGGAGGCCTAACAAAAGAAACACCGTTTTTATCAAGCGGGAGGAGAAGAGGCGACACTCTATCAATTTCCACACAATTGCCCGGTTTCATTTCCCTTTCTTACTCTTCCCCTCTCCATCTCCCCGCCGCGCTCTAATCGCGGCGCCAATTCCCTCCCAGTCGAACCCTCGCGACCACACGACACTGACACCCCCCCCCCCACGCCCCGCCCCCACACGCCCCCCCCCACACGCGCCCCCCCCCCCCCCACCCGTGGCACGATCCTATCGATCGTGGCGCTGGGGGCATGGGAGGAGGTGGGAGGGGGGAGGAGGGCTCCAATTTCCACCCCCCCCCCCCCCTCCACGCCACCCCGAGCGTCTAGATTTAGGGTGACGTCGATCGGTCGTTCACGTCGTCACAGGAGTTGGGTCAAGGTCACCGCTGCCTCCGCTGGAAATTCCACGTTCCCACGGCGGGGTTTGGACATCCGTGAAACAAGACCTTCCTAGGCTCGTTGGATTCTTCCAGTCTAAATAAAAGATTCGGATTCTGCTTGTACGTGTCATGAGATATGAGATGATGGCGAGCTACAGCAGGAACAACGTGGACGAATTTAACTGTGTCTACACCTGGCGACCTAGGTTCAATTCTCACCCCCTGGTCATCAGCAGTTGACCAGCATGAAAGAGACAGCAGCAGCAGCAGGAGGCTTTAGAGAAAATTGTTTGATCTCATGGAACAAGACTCAATGAGCACATCACAGACGAACAACACAAAGCAATAAATACATGTATTATGAATGTATACCGCCACCAGCAACCCCTAGATACAAAGACAAAGATCCCCCGTACAGCCTTCAACAGACTGTAGGAGCAAGTGCTGTTGGCGAGCACCTATGAAGGCCGGCACGGCGCACAAGGGGGTGGGTGGCCAGCACCACGCCCGGCCGCCTTTCTCTTCCCAGCGGCGACATGTACATACTGCAGCAATTACTCATTTGAGGCTGAGTCGACATAGGGGAGGCCCAGGACCGGTTCATATAATGGTCAATGTTGTCGACTATGAGCAGGAATCAAACTCGGGTTGCCGTGTTTGCAACACAGTGCACTAACCGCTACCGCTCCCCATTCCAGCACCACCACCCCATCAACACCACCCCATCAACACCACCACTGTCAGCGATACCACCACCAACGCCGCCATCAACACCACAACCGTCAGCAACACCACTACCACTGCTGGCAGAGTGACGCTGATGACCCCAGGAGGCTGTAGCTCAGGGATAACCGAGGCTGTCGAGGCAGCGGGTGAGTTAGGGCTCATCATGATTTACGAGGAGCCTTCGTCGGCCGCGCTCCAAGGCCGGCCTGGCGCTGCGAGGGAGCGCGTCACTCAGCGCGAGTGAGAGAGCGGCCACTCCATCGCTGTCCGCCAATCAACCGTCAGTGCGAGGGCGCCCGTCACTCAGCGCGAGAGAGAGAGAGGGGCCGCTCCATCGCTCTCCGCCGATCCCACGTGCGTCTCTGTGTCTGTCTCCTTGTGTCCCTGTGGCTATCTCCGCACGTCTCTGTGTCTCTCTGTGCGTCTCTGTGTCTGCGCTGATCAATGTTTGTCTCTCTTTGTGTCTGTGTCTCTGTATCTATGTCTACGCGTGTGTCTCGGTGTCTGCGAGTCAGTGTCTAACGCCAAGCGTGGGTCTTTGTCTATGTGCCTCCCAACGTTTGTGTGTCCGTGTATGGGGAGCAGAAGTGGTTAGCGTGCGACACTATGAACCTGGCGACATGGGTTCGATTCCCGCTCATGGCCAACACCAGTGACAATTATCTGAACCAGTCCTTGACCTCCCCTAGGTCAACTCAGCTGCAGATTAGTACCTGGGGTGGTTTGTAAACATCAGCACTCGGAAGACAAAGGTGGCTGGGCGTGGTGCTGGCCACACTATCCCCCCCCGTGCTCCGTGATGGCCTAAATTGATGCTCACTAACAGCACTTTCCCCAACGCTCTAAATGTCTACACGGGACATCTTTGTCTTTGTTTTTATGGGTACTGTAGGTCGGAAATAATTTATTTTTAACCAGGTAAGGGCCACGTCTCTTATTCAAGGGAGAACTGGGCACCAAAAGCAAATTTAAGATATGACAAAAACAAATACACAAGATTATTCTATACATAATGTAGGTGTGTATCAAAGCCCTATGCATGTATGTGTGTGTATGTACCATCTATAATGTATGTGTGTTTGATTGTACAGATTGCATAATGCATGTGTGTGCATAGTATTCTGCAGAATGTACGTGTGTGTACGTGTGTGTATGTATATATATGTGTGTGTGTGTACTAACGCATAGATAGATGGATAAAGTTTGTGCGTACATAATAACAATGACAAAATTATGCTTTTTGTCAATCCACTGCTGGATGAAGGCTTCCCCATAAACTACAATTTTTTTTATTTGTATTTTACCAGGTAAGGCCCACAAATGATAGCTCAATGAAGTAGTTCATCATCATGTGGACATTTATAGCAGCCAAATACTTTGAATGCATGGATAAAAATCTGTGCAAACCACGGAGAGAGAGACACGCAAACTCCAAATATACAGGCATCAGGGTCGGGATCGAACCCATGACCTCCTGTATATCAGGCGAGGCAGTTAACATCTCGCCACTGCGGCGCCGTGGCAGTCATGTGGGTTATTTCACCATACTTCACCACGCCGCTCGGCGCATGTTAGTGTTAAAGTTGGGGAGTCAGGACCCCGTTCAGATATCACTGGCCACTGATGAGAGTCGTGGCCAGGTGACCGGGTGCATGGGCGGCACGGTGGCGGTGCAGCGGTAAAGTTCACGCCTCGTGGCAACAAGGGCCTGGGTTCAATTCCCGACTCGGGTGCCCTTCTGAGTGGAGTTTGTATGTTCTCCCCCTGTTCTGCATGGGTTTTCTACCGGGTTCTCTGGTCTCCACAGAATGTAACCGGTTATAGGCCAAAACATCCCAAAGTTGAAAAATGACTCTGGAAATCACTCAATTTGGATTACACATCGCAGGAGCAGCAGCTGCTGCATCACCACCCCTTCTGCAAAAAACTTGGGAGGACTTTCCTGACAAAGAGTCTTGAGACTCGGTGTGGCTTTCCGGGTTAAACAAGCGAATGAAAATAAAAATAACATCACAATAATAGTTTGTAAAAATCATAGGTTTCGACATGTCTGAGTAGCATCAGCAAGGTGCAGCCGGATGTGTGTGCGTGCGTGGGGAGCGGTAGTGAAGAGAGTTCGATTTCCGTTCACGGCCAACACCAGTGACAATTATCTGAATCGGTCATGGGACTTCCAAAGGTCAACTCCATCTCAAATGAGTGCCTGGTCGGATGTGTAAACATCGCCACTGGGGAGACGAATGCAGCTGGGCGTGGTGCTGGCCACCCACCCGATCGTGCACCGTGCCCGCCTTCACAGGTGCTCGCTAACAGCACTTGCCTCAACAGTCTGTTAAGGCTATAATGGGGGTTTTGTTCTTTGTGCGCGCTACTCACCAGGCCCTCGCAGGGGTTGATGTGCGTAAGGTGCACAACCTCCAGGTGCGCCGACTGAGACATGAGGGGGTCAGAGGTCACGGTGCCCATGTGCTCGCAGGTGACGAGCAGCGTCTTGCACTGCGCCGGGGGGGAGAGAGAGCGTCCGCACACACACACACAGAGTTAGCATCGAGGGGTGGAAATAAGTAATAATGACTGGCGCATCGCTAAACGCTTGGGCGCATTACAATTTAATTAGTTTGGCCGTGTCGCGTGGTGGAGGGCTTCTCACACGACAAATTTGGCCAGATCGTTACGTGGGCCGACCCCAACATTACGAATTCAGCGCACATTTTTTTGCGAATGAAATTTGCCGATGACATGATAACCATCAACTTTTTCTCCTTCGCATTTTCATTCCAACTCCACCCCCCACCGCCACGTTTTTTTTTTTTTGCAATCCTGCAATTGAAAATCGGTTTTGACGAAGTGAACAGAAAACGCAACACAAAGGTGGCCGACTCTTCAGAGCAAATATGTGGATAGTGCCGTTGGTCGAGAACACCACCCTCTTATATTGTATTTTTCCTTTTAAGGCCACCATGTTATATATATATTCTTGGTTCTTTCGGTAAAGTCACGTTGCTCGATTGTTATTTGTGCACCCACTGCCAAAACTCACAACTAACTGCTTCACTGCCACAGCCCGCTCGACTAAGACAGGGGGCTCGGCAACTAAAACAACAAGGGGAGAAATTATTTTGCAAAAAAAAAATCACTCAATATTTCAAGAGCCGCAATGCAATCGACGTGAATACGAGACGGTGGTGGGTCTTTCATAAACAACGTCGCGAAGCAGCTGTCTTTACTGAGCCGCATGTGGCTCTGGAGCCACGGGGGTTGCTACCCCTTGCCCACGGTGAACTGGACTTCCACGGTGAACTGGACTCACACGCTGAACTGCACTTCCATGGTGAACTGGACTTCCATGGTAAACTGGACTTCCATGGTGAACTGGACTTCCATGCTCAGGGGTAAGCAACCAAAATAACAAGAGCAGTCATTTTTTTTTAATTTCAAGAGCCGCAAGGTTGCCAAAGCCTGGACTAAGAAAATTGCGACATCAAAGCTCACGGACCGCGACAACGAACGCTGCCATGGGTTGCCGTCAACAACACTCAAACTTTTGGGCTGCAGTCGCTTAAAAAATGCTAAATGGTGACCGGGGCCGCCACCATCAATTCGCCACTCGTGAAGCCGTTTTTCGAAGACCCGGATTCGAACCTGGGTGGTGTCTCTCTCAGCGGTGAACCGTGGGGGGGGGCTCGGCGTGCCCCTCGACCGTCTTACCCTAACCCCGGGGGCCGCCCTCCGGGGTTCAGTGATGACGCAAGCACACATGAAAGGAGGCCGCAGCGTGTGTGGGGCGGGGGGGGGGGGGGTACGGCCGTGTTGCAGCTCACTCCACCAGATGCGAGGACGCCCGGATTTAACGAGCCGACTAAATTATCGCCGGCTCTGCCCGTGTGGGGCTCCGGTTCATCGCGCTAACAACGTCCCTCATCACGACGGGGGGGGGGGGGGGGGTGGGGGGGGGGTGCCGCGCGCTTGTCGTACGGCGATGAGCAACGGACGGAGCGGACGCAAGATGTGAGGCGCCACCCCCCCCCCCCCCCCCCCCCCCCCCCCCCCCCCCCCCCCCCCCCCCCCCCCCCACTTTGGCACAAATTGTAAATGAGCCGTTCGTTACGCACGCTCGCAAATTGCCGAGACTTAACACGCACGCCTCTTGCAGGTAACGGTTACCGGCCACGATAGATTTTTGGGATCGGAGGACCGGCGTCTCCCTTGGCTGCTGTGGGTCTCCTTCGTGCCCCCCGGGACGCGTTCCCCCGCCGCCCAGACCCTGTGCTGACTTTTCCCGGAGTGGTCAGCGCGACGTCTCTCTCTCTCTCAACGTTCTCAAAATCGCGTGTCCCTCTCCATGCCTCTCGGTGCCATCTCCCGGTCACGATCTTTCGTCGGCGCCGCGCAATCTCCTTCGCCGGGGCCACTCCCGAAGGGGGCCCATAGTGGGGCCATCCTGGGGCCGTTGGCCAGCTCAGAGCCGCGATGACGTCACGCGCGCTACGTCCGTTTTAGGCCCCGCCCCCCCCCCCCCCCCCCCCCCCACTCCGCGGGACGAAACTTTTGTCGACCGTCGTCTTGTTGTCCCCCGTCTGAGGGCGGACGATCGATGAACGCGCCGAGGTTTTGATCCCCGTAGAGCCGGAGACGGAGGGGCGCCTTCGTTTAGTTGGATTGGAGGAAGGGGCGGCGGCGTTGGGCGGAGGCGCAGTGGTTAAATCACAAGACAGGCGGCGCACGTGGTGGGGGGGGGGGGGGGTTGGGGGGGGGCGGGAAAAAGATCCCGCGCGGTATAAACATGGCACGACGCAGTAAATATCGCGCCGCGTGGCGGAACGAGCGGCCGCGGGGCCGAGCCCGCGGCGATTGCCGCGAAAATAATTAAACGCCGCGTCGGCGCAAAGCAGAAATCTTCAGCGGCATAAACCAAAAAAACGCCGCGGCGTATTTAACACCGGTGGCACGGCGAGCAGTCCCGCCGGGCCCTTGGCAGTCCACAGGTCGCCGGATCGACTCCCTCTCCCGGCGCAGCAGGCAGTTGAAGCAATGGGGGCAAGTTTTTTAAATCCCCCCCCCCACCCACTACCAAGCCCCCTCCGCACGCCCGCACGCACCCCCCGCCATCCCCCCTGCCGAACCACCGTCGCCGCCGTCCACCCAGCGGTGTAGGTGGATGCGGCACCATGCGGTCGATTGACGGGTCACGTCACTCGACCGCAAGGCGTACTGGGCCTAGCGGAGGCCCTTCCGCCAGCAGTGGCGAGGGTGCTGCGCCCTCGCCTTCAACTCGCCGCGGGCACGCACGAGCGGGCGCCCGTAATTGGCGCCGCGCGCGTGCGTTAGCGCCGCGCGGGCGTTAACGCGTGAGCAATTGTTGGATGAGAGGGGGTGATTGGGCGGAGGGGGGGGGGGGGGCAGGGGGAGGGGGATGGGGGGGCAGGGGGATGCGCTCCCCTCGTTAGCACGGCGCGATTGTTACGTGAGAAGTGGCCGTCCAGAGAGGGTGGCTCGCAATCAGAACGTCGCCAGTTCACATTCACGGTGGCGAGATGTTAACCACCTCGCCTGGTACGCAGGAGGTTGTGAGTTCGATCCCAACCCTCTGACGCCTGTTTATTCGGAGTTTGCATGTCTCTCTCCCCGTGGTCGTGTGGATTTTTCTCCGGGTCCTCCGGTTTTTCCCTGCACATTTAGAATCAAAGTGTGTGCTCAGAGTATTATGCTGCTGCTATAAATGTCCACGTAACAAGCCACTTTGTTGAGCTATGATTTGGGACTGCCAGGTCGCTTCTGAAAACTAGCGACAATAGCTCAGTGGGCCTGACCTGGTAAAATAAAAAAAGTGTAGTTTAGTTTTAGTGCACATTCAGATGGGTGGTTGTCTCAGCCCATCATCGCTCCACGGCCTTTAAAACGAGTACCGCTCAGTGGGGGAATTCAACAGCGACTGTCCTACGGAGAGAACTCATTCCTGCCAAAGGAACGTGGAATTTCCACCCCTGGGCTTTGCATGGCTGTAAACATCAGATTAGCACCGATACCACTGAGCTCATGCTGAGCTGCAGGAAATCACGTTGACAAGTAAACTCTGATAAGTAATGGCAGTTAAATTACATACTTTTATTTTATTTTACCAGGTAAGGCCCACTGAGCTACATAGCTATCTTTCAGAAGCGACCTGGCCACAAATGATAGGCCAACAAGATTGGCTTATCATGTGGAAATTTAGAGCACCCCAAATATAATAAAACGTTCCTCAAATAAACAAATTCTGGACTGGGTGTGATCGATCAATTGCCCAGAGTAGATATGGGACGGTTTAGACTCCACTTCTGGTGGAAACGCCTCCACTCGAGGGAGCTCTACAAAGCCCCTCTCCAGGGAGGCATTTGGCCTCCTCTTCCACGGTCGTAGGCATCTCGGAATATGTGCCGATACCCCAGACGTGTTGGAAGACGTGGGACTACCCCACACTTGACCCCACCACCCACGGCCTATCCGTTGGCTCACGATGGTGTACACGATTACACAGGTAGGTGGTGGCAGCGGTGACGGTATTGGTGGGGAGGGAGGGAGGGAGGGAGGGAGGGAGGGAGGGAGGGAGGGAGGGAGGGAGGGAGGGAGGGAGGGAGGGAGGGAGGGAGGGAGGGAGGGAGGGAGGGAGGGAGGGAGGGAGGGAGGGAGGGAGGGAGGGAGGGAGGGAGGGAGGGAGGGAGGGAGGGAGGGAGGGAGGGAGGGAGGGAGGGAGGGAGGGAGAAACCAGCCCCATTGTTTCAACTGCCGCAGGCCGGGAAGATGGAACAGATCCGGTGAACCTCCGGACCGCACGAGCCGGGCGTGCCGTTCCACCGCACAGCCGCGGCACGTCGCGTCGTCGTGCACACGTGCCGGACTCCGGCCAGCGCCGGGAGAGAGGGAGCGGGAGCGGAAAGAGGAGGAACTGGAACTCACCACTTGCAGGATCTGTGCCTCGGTGTCCAACAGAGGGGACGACTCCTGAAACAACAAAGCGGGCAGAGAGAGATTGATGAGCCTCGCGATCGAAGATACACCACGGAGTCCGTGTAAAAATATTAAACTATTGATTTTTATTTTTAATTTCAGCAGGTAAGGGCCCCCTTAGCTAAATCGCTTTTTTTTTTCCAGAACCAACCTGGCCACAAATGATAGCTCAATGAAGCGGCTCATCACTTGGAAATTTATAGCAGCCAAATACTCTGAAACGCGTGTTGATTCTAAATGTGGAAGAACCGGAGAAAAAAATCCTCGTGACCACAGGGAGAATAGGCAAACTTTAAATATGCAGGCGTCAGGATCGAGAACGAACCCAGGACCTCCTGTATACCAGGCGAGGTAGTTAACATCTCGCCACCGCAGGACCCCAATGGCATTGGCTTCACCGAGTCTTTCGTCTCGAAAGCCAGACAATCAGGAGTACCATGGTCCCGTACTAACCATAGTATAATACCACATGTAGTATAATACTACATGTAGTATAATACTACATGTAGTATATAAGCCAGTTGTAGTATAATACTACGTAATACTAACCGTAGTATAATACTAAACGTAGTATAATACTAAACGTAGTATAATACTAACCGTAACATAATACCACACGCCGTCCGCTTCACAGCGAATATTAAAGATCCTGGTGACCTCAGAATAACGAGGAGCGACCCCATTGCCGATTGATGCGGAAACTCGGTAGGACACGATGCACACAAAGATTTCTTCCCCCCCCCCCCCCCCCCGTATAGCCTGTTGGGGCAAGTGCTGTTAACGTGCATCTATGAGTACCCGGTGCGGTGTGCGAACATTGCCGCTCGGGAGACAAAGGCGGTCGGGCACGGTGCTGTCCACACCCACCCCCTCCTCGTGTGCCGTGTGCCTGCCTCACAGGTGCTGCTACTCGCTGACAGCACTTGCCCCAACAGTCTGTTGGAAGGCTACACGGGGAATCTTTATCATTGCGCGTGCGAGTGTACGTGCGTCACCGCCGCCGCCGATCGACGCAACACATTCGGGACGTGCACCGCCCTCACCGTCTCACGCCACTTATCACATCGAGCGCGGCCAAGACAAAACAGGCACGCACGCAAGCTCATTACACGCCCGCCAACACGCTGAATGACAACTCCGCTCGTCATCAGCTTTGGTCTATCCGCTGCTGAATGAAGGCCTCTCCCTCCGCCCCCCCTCCCTCCCTCCGCCGCCCCAAGCCACCAGCACCACCTTCCATGATGCCACGCGATGGAACGATCCATCCCGGCTGAAGCGCACACGTGGCCCAGCGGGGATGTCGAGAGGTCAAATCCATCATCGCCATATGAATGTGGATTTTCCCACAACTGGCTCAGGGCTGTGGAAAGGATGCGAACACTGCCTCTCTCCGCTCGTTTGAGAATGACATGGCTTTGACTTCGTGATTAACCAGGGCGGCCGCTGGGCTAGAACCGCGAACCTTTGCAACGGGCGGCAAACGCGCTACCTGCTCGGCCCAGCACGCGCACACGCACACACAAAGGCAAAGTGCTAACCGCGAGCACCGAATGATAGCCAGCATGGCACACGAGAGGGTGGATGGGCAACACCGCGCCCGGCCGCCTTTGTCTCCCCAAGTGCTGATGTTTATATACCGCAACCAGGTACTAATTTGATGCCGAGTCGACCTAGGGGAGCCGCGCGAGCACGCGCGCGCGCTGCGAGACGCGGGGAAAAAAAAACGCCTTTTAATCTTGGAATCCCACAATGCAGCGGAGGCAACGGGGATGTGAAAAATTCAGATCAAAGCGCCGCATGAGTAGTGCCGGGCGGAGAGACAGACGCAGGCTGGCGGGCAGCATGCTGCGGGACGTTACGGAACTGGGGGGCGGGAGGGGGACGGGGGGCGGGGGGAGCTGTGGTTTTGAGGACGGCGAAGGCTCACGCTGCGATGCGCCAATCTCAAGCACGACAGCGCACGTCGTGCCAATTAAGCAGCTCTTGCGTGCCCCCCAACCAGGCCCCTGTAAACCAGGCCACGTAACCACCCCCCCCTCCTCCCCCTACCCGTTACTCCAATACCTCCACCGCTGGCTCCCAATACAATTCCAAATCAACTCTATTTATTTATTTGCGTATCGTTGAATTGTTTTGCTCGTCGACCCAAGACAGCCTCAGCGATTCCGGCTGAAGCTCGGCACCTGCTTTCGGTACCCGTGAACTCACGCACGGCCACACGCACTCACTCACGCACACACACACACACAGACACACACACACACTCACACAGACACACACACTCACACAGACACACTCACGCACTCACACACACACACACACAGACACACGCACTCACGCACACACACAGACACACACAAAGACACACTCAAGCACTCACACACACAGACGCACAGAAGCACGCACTCACACACACCCACAGACGCACACACACACACAGACACACAGAAGCACGCACTCACACACAGACACAGACGCACGCACTCACGCACACACACACACACACAGACGCACGCACTCACACACACACAGACGCACGCACTCACGCACTCACACACACAGACGCACAGAAGCACGCACTCACACACACCCACAGACGCACACACACACACAGACACACAGAAGCACGCACTCACACACAGACACAGACGCACGCACTCACGCACACACACACACACACAGACGCACGCACTCACACACACACACAGACGCACGCACTCACACACACACACACAGATGCACGCGCTCACACACACACACAGACGCACGCACTCACGCACTCACACACACACACAGACGCACGCACTCACACACACACACAGACGCACGCACTCACACACACAAACACAGATGCACGCACGCACTCGCACACAGACGCACACACTCACGCACTCACACACGCACACAGACGCACGCACTCACACACGCACACAGACGCACACACTCACACACACCCACAGACGCACGCACTCACGCACTCACACACACACACAGACGCACGAACTCACGCACTCACACACACACACACAGACGCACGCACTCACGCACTCACACACAGACACACGCACACAGACGCACGCACTCACACAACAACAACAACAGCCATTCGCCACTAAGTGGCGGTGACGTCACCACGACGCTTGTGCCAGACTATGTGCACCCTGAGGTCACGTGAAGTGTCGAACGCCTGCTGGCAGGAGGTCACGGGGCAGACCCAGGTGCCACGGGTCGACTGACTGAGATGACTGGCTGATGCACCACCTGTGCCCCCTACTGTGCCAACCTGCTGTGCTTTAGCCACCCGGCGCTCCGCTCGTTGTTCTGAGCGTTGCTCCTCCGCCCGCCATTGTTGTTGGAGGGCGACTACCTCCAACTGCCCAGTAGCGTCCTTCACGAGCCTCCTCCACAGAGGCCGATCTTGACACCGCTGGTACCAGTCATCGGCAAGTCCACTCAGCTCCACGTCCTCCTGTACCACATCACTCCATCTCTTCTCTAGCCCAGGCCGCGCCCGCTTAGCCCCCTCAATCCGGCCGAACAAAAGCTGTTTCAGCATGCGGTGGCTGGGCATGCGGGCTACATGACCCAGCAATCGCAGCCTTCCCCGCCGGAGCTCACCGATGGGACCTTGCCCAGATCTTTCAAGGATTTGTGAGCTCCTCACACAATCCAGTCTGGTTAAACCCAGGATGGATCGTAGGCAGGCCAGCCTAAATGTTTCTAACCGGCGAAGATGTTCCATTAGGGGGGTCCACGTTTTGCAAGCGTAGAGAAGGGAGGGAATGACCGTGGCCGAGAAGACCTGAAGCTTAGTGCGGAGCGACAGACCAGGTAGCTTCCACACAGCGTTACGCAACCGATGAAAATATATTGCCGCTCGACTGATTCGGAGTGAGACCTCTGTTGTTAAACTGGAGCCAGTCATAAGCACACTGCCCAGGTATGGGAAACTCACCACTCTCTCCACAACTGCCCCATCACTGATTGGGAGTTGTGGGGGTGGAGTGTCCGATGGAACAAAATACCCAGGCAGATGCTTAGTTTTGGTGGGGCTGATGGTAAGGCCCCACCTCTTAGTGGCACGCTCCAGTCTCAGCAGCAGCGTCTCCAACTCCTCCTCTGAATGAGCAGCTATTACCAAATCATCAGCATACATAACGTGGTTGAGCAATAGTGAGCCATCCCTTGACCGCACCCGGGCATCGATCAGCCTCCCATTATATCTGTACCATATGAAGATTCCCCCGGTACAGCTATTGAAGGCTTCACGAACTACGTGGTCAAAATAGATGTTAAATAATGTGGGAGCCAGAGGACATCCCTGTCGCACCCCAAGGTGTACAGGGAATGGCTCTGACTCCCGGCCACGTAGTTTTACCCGGGCCCGCTCACCATCATGAAGGTTCTTAATGATCGTGAGCAGAGGGTCAGGTACTCCAAAAGCACGAAGAACAACCCAGAGCCCAGTCCTACTGATGGTATCATAGGCCTTGACCAGGTCAATAAAGCAGAGATGTAGGTCTTGTTGGAATTCCCTACACCTCTGCTGTAGCAGACGGACAGAAAATATGGCATCTGTGCAGGACCGCCCTTTCCTGAAACCGGATTGGGGCTCCGCAAGCCTCTCCTCAGCGTGCCTGGCAAGGCGATGCTTGAATAATCCTTGCCAGGACCTTTCCCGGCACACTGAGGAGTGAGATGCCCCTGTAGTTGTTACAGTCTGTGCGGTCCCCCACTTAAAAAGGGGGACCACCAGGGCATCCTTCCAATCCTGCGGAACCCGTCCAGTGGTCTAGACCGTTGTTATGATGTCATATAGGGCAGTCTGTGCACAAACGCCACCCTCCCTCAGCATTTCGCTTGGAAGATCATCTCTCCCCGCTGCCTTTCCTGGTCTCAGACTCCGGATTGCCTTCAGTACTTCCTCAACAGATGGCACCTCAGCCAGCCACTCACAGGGGGTGACTTCTTCCAATATTTGAGGCACCGCAGCC